GACGGTACTAATGACCCCCATTGCATTCTTCTTCTTTTCGAGAAAAACTTTGTTATGCCTAACAATCATATGAATTATGCATCATGAGTCATATACAATGAGAACACGAGTTTAAAAAGTGATATGAAATGTGAACTCGTAAGAACACACTATGACAAAGAGAGAGACTAGTAGTAGAGGAGATGAAGAAACACACACAGCTATTGTCAGGCATAGAATGAACACCCGAGGCAGAGTCAGTGATGGTGGTGGAGTCGGGACCAACGAAGGAGTGGGCAGGGAGGAGGTGGTGCTGGAGCAGAAGATAGACATCCACTACCACTTCCAGGAGAGAGGTCAGTGGTCGCAGTGTCGAGGAGAAACACGAAGGTTGTAATGAGGGTGAGGGTGAGGGGGATGAAGTAGAAGGGTCCCTGACGGAGGACAGTCTGAGGTGTGTGGTGTGTGTGGTGTGTGTGTTAAAAACAAAAATGAACCACACACCATGGTAAGACATGAGGAAAATACCACGGAGATCCCAGTATACAGTATAAGGCAAAGCCAGCTAAATGACAGAAACCACAAGTTGTAGGTTTATAGTACTCTTTGGAGGGAAGTTCAAAGACACAATCCGCTTTAATGGAGGAAATGATGTTAAGTAAAATAGTCCCTATGTTAATGGATACAGTCACTGAAGACTAACCTGAATCATACAGTGGACACACTTTCAATGGCAAAGCAAAACAGACATTGACTTGTATCTCCACTAGATGGGAAACATGGGGACAGAAATGACAAAGTCATATATAAATGTTCTGCTGCACATAACAGCTATGAGCCTATATAGATCAAGATAACTGAGACTTACTGCCAGGTAGTACGACTGGGCCAGGTATGAAGCTTGCAATGTAGCAAGAACTGGCAGGTGCATTGCCCAGTCCTCTCTTCTTGGTTGGGTCTGTCTGCAGTCGGCGTGGGCGCGGTCTGCACAGAGAGCTCAAGGTCGATCTCCACAATCCCTGATGAACTGCAAGCATCACTGACGTTTTTGTATGCAGTCTTCCTGTCAAAGGTGAAGATGATACCATGAGCAGCAGTACTAACGTACATGCAACTCTGAGTGTGTAACTATATGAAAAGGCTGTTACATAATAGCCTATATACGGACTCCTAGCTAGGCTATTAGCTATAATCTTATTGCTACGTAAATTAACCGCAGTAAGTATACAAATCGGTGCTCTGTTCTTCGCACTGAAACTTCAGGATATCGTACAACACCACGTACAACGGCTCACTGTGGCATAGGAGTAAGAAGTAAAAACAGATAATCAATGCAGGCATTTATGCTTTACCTTTGCGTGTAGCCAGAAACGCCCTCTCTCGTCCAGTTTATCCGTCTCATAGTAATCTCGCCGAGCGTATGCACCGTCGGCATGCCAAGGGACGGCCGAAGCAGCCGCAGGCAGCAACAGAGAAGAAGTCTGAGGAGGTTATCCTGTACACTATTTCCCATTTCAGTATGGACAGCGATTGAACTGGCCAAGTAGCTCGTACGCTGGCTTTATGTACCTGCGGCTTTATGCGTATGCGGCTATGCGCAGTACATATCTGGGGAGCTCCCATAATGACGGAATGAAAACCTCCGCATCCTCCTCCGGTTTCATATCTAACCATTGTTGCCAGTACTGTAATTATACGTACTTCGGGAGCCATGATATTCCAGCTCTACACAAGTGGTATAGCTAGTTAAGTAGTACATTCACAACTGCAGAGCAGAAAGCATGTTTCGGTGGTGAATGCAAAATGGACTGCTGAGCAGTAATTCATACTCACCCATGGCAAAAAATTAAGGTTAGGCAAGTATCAGAGGCTGTGTAGTTTGCGAGAGTGGATGAGGACCTGGATGCTGTGGCATGTTATTCACATCTATAATAATTATAATTATACGCCTTAGCAAATTTCAACTGTAACTTACACTACAAGAGCTAGTTGGAGATAGGTGATGTGTGGCCATAACCCATTCGAGCTGAATCCCCTGGGTGGTGCACGCATTTTGTGCATGTGCGTGCGTGATTATTAACACGGTTGGCCAGTCAAGGACCAGAGCAGCAATATCAATTATCCTACACACAAACAATAACTCAAAAAGCTACGAACATCATCAGTAAGTCTGGAGTCTTTACTATTCTGTGGTAGCTAAAGATTTCACTTTTGAAATCTGACCACCATCACTGTTAGCAACTGGGGCAGGCCGTCTCACAGTTAATTTCTGAGTAAGGTTGCCCGTCTGCTGTTGCCTGTTTGTTGCTGTTTCTGTTCTTTGTGAGCCGTTGCTTGTTTGAGCACCATTGCTAGGCGTTTTTGCAGCAGAAGTATGCTGGGATGGCCTCTTTGCTGCTGAACCATTTGCAGTCAATCTCTGGCTCTCTGCTGCTGCCCTTTCGCGCTGCACACCAGAGCCTCTACGAGCTGCGTTGTGCCCAGGAGTGTTATTGGTTTGTGTTTGAGCACCGTTGCTAGGCTTTTTCACAGCAGGAGGATGCCGGGATGGCCCCTTGGCCGTAGAACTGCCTGCAGTCAACCTGGTCTTGCCTCCCTTCTGCTGCTTTTTCGCCTTGCATACCAGAGCCTCTACGAGCTGCGTTGTGTCCAGGACCGTTGGTTTTGGAGCCAGGCTGGTTCCCACTGCCTCTTCGATTTCCTTTTGGCGGTATACCTTTATTTCGATTTTCTGGTGATTTTGTTGTCTGTTTTTGGACAGATTGCTCCCTTTTCTCCTCTCTGTCCTGTTTCTTCTCGTTCCCATCTCCATTACCACTCCCTTCCGGTTTGGTACTTCCTTCATTCGGTTTGAAGGTACTCACTGATGATCCCTTTGTATATGAAGCTCCGCCTTCGACCGAAACTGACGCTGTCCTCGGGCTCCACAGGTGTCATGGGTGAGACTAATTTCTCCTTAGAATCCAAAGGTTTTGTGTCTGCCATGGGCATGCCAGGCAGAGCCGAAGTCATCGCTTCCACATTAGCAGACCTCTTCTTCGAACCACGATGACAAAGGTATAGTAGTAGTAAAATTATCACAACGACTAGAAGACCAAAAGCAACTGCAACAACAACAGCAGCTATAAAGCCACTACTTTCATAAAACATTTGACTCCTGTCATCATTCCCAGCACCCTGAGGATCCTTAGGCACTCCTGGAGTATTGGTAGGAGAGATGGTTGTGGTTGGTTGATAAGGTGCTGCAAGAGGAAACATAAACAACAAGTCAAATACAGTAGGCCAAGAAGGCAAGAACCAGAGTAGTCCAAGGGAATGTGGTAATAAATTTAGAAATGTTACTAAAACAGAACCTAATTGCATTCTTTAACTTGTCTCCTAATCCATCTTTCTAAATTTAGCCCTTACAATGTACTGCCACATTCCCTTTAATGATTATAGGAGCTACAGTATATCCACTGGCCACTGTAGAAGGACACTGCCACATGCACTGGCATTGTAATTCTCACAAAAGGTCAGGTAGAAAAGAATGGTTGTTCTAAAACAAAGCTTTCCTAGTCCAAACAGAGAAGCAAAGCACAAGAGGATAAACAGTATTCATTGAGGAAATGTGCCCACCACATCTCCGATTTTGACTAGAGTACTATAATATTCCGTCACATGCTGTCACAGTCAACAAACACAGTTCTTTGGAACAATAATACTCTGATCTAAAATCCCCACCATTGTTACTCATTGCGTGCGTTAATACACATGTGCGGAATTAACGCGTATGCGTTGTTTTTATGCGTTCGCGCGTGCCGTTTTGTTCACATGTTTATACCTGCTGTAGGCGTGCAAACAAAGCCCAGATTCGTTCTCCAGCCGCCTTTTATTTTGTGCATGTGCAAACTGTGCGCCCACTCAAAGGTCAAAGAGGTGGTGCTTGCGAGTAAAGACGGCAACTAGGACGAAAAGAGAAGTGAGTTGTTCCGGCACATCTATATATATGCCAATCGTGTAGGCCAACATCCGCGTAACAAATCAATATGTAGATCCGCTGCGCAATGAGTTAATGTTAGTTCACCAAAACAACATTTGATGTGTGTGGTTTTTATCGTCAAGCCCATTAGAGTTAGGAAATTCTCACCATATTCATTTGTACATGTCGATCGTCCACATACAATGAATTTTAGCCATTTGCGATTTACTTTCAGTGACCATGCACAGCAAGACAGTACAGTCTGTTTGTCCCTGGCACTAGACACGAGGTGGTAAAAGAACATATCTACGGTAACGGTACAATGTCGGCATGGATGGTGTGTTTCCTGCGTTTAGTGAGCAATGGCTTACCTCGACGAGTGTTTGCCCGTTCAGTGCACTGTGGAGGGATGAAGTTACACAGAGGACGAGCATCGAGTCTGGCGTTGCTCAAAACGCTCACACACTGATGCAGGTAGCCTGTCTTAGAGCGACAAACTGTAGAAACGCGTGGCGATTGTGTGGACGCTGCGAATGCGCAGCCCGTTCAGCGCTATAAATTAATATTGGCAGGTAAAGGTGCAATTGGCTGATTTCGCTAAAATCAATACCCACTAAAAATAGTCACCTTGACAGGAAAAGCCATGAGGCTAAAATGAAAGTAACTGAATGTTTGTTTTTTACACATGTTCATTTTCAATGCAGAATAGCCCTTGCGATTGCCTATTTAGGTAATTTTATAGGTATATGTATGTAAGGTAAATGCCCCATTCTCCAAGTCCCCACCCACATACATTGTGTAATCACCCGTGGCGGAACATTCACAACGGAAATGTTTGAAGGGAAAACATTCATGTTTCGGTGGCAAATACATTTATGTTGCTGCAATATAAATGTCCCTGCCCACAGGGGAGGAAAAAACATGTATGGATGACTAAAAAAAGCTAAGAAATCCGGGAAAGGGTGTTTGCAGGTACGTAGGTGCGTTTCTCAAAAGTCATTTTCTGCTCAAACCGACCGCTTCCATGTGCGGTAAGACTAGGGGGCGGGGCTGGTAAAGTAGCAATTGTAGAAGGCTGCATTGGGCGCTAGCAGTTGCAAGAAGTCTGTCGACAGTCTCCAGAGCTACTTAGTCAGACGTCATTTCCAGTTTCTGGCTTGCAAAATTGTGTCAGGGTCCCGGCACAACTCAAAGAACGGGAGAGGGCAGCGTCGTTCCGTTGCTATAATATCTTTTTGAACGCGCACCATCCAATCAGATTCTCTCGTCTAAACCGCTTAGACACGGAAGCTAGGCATCCGCGCCAACATTGCAACCCTCGGGGCCTGTGGATAGCACCCTCCCGGAGCTAGGGACGCCACATTCCATAGTCCCTTGGACTGCAATGTAGGCGTAGACACCTCCCTTCCGCGTCTAACCTATACTTATCACCTATCTCAACTACAGTGGAACCTCTGAACAAGGGACACTATGGGACCAACGATTTTGTCCTTTGTAGAGAGGTCGTCCCCATCTCGGAGGTCAAATAATACACTAAAGTATTATTGAAACAAGTGTCCTTTGTAGAGAGGTCGTCCTTATCTCAGAGGGTCCCTTATCGGAGGTTCCACTGTATCTGTACCTCTCTCTTATATACATCTCACACACCATTCTTTAAAACACTCAGGAGAATGTACAACTTACTTGGTTCACTAACAACAAAGACGATCATCTTGAGCCCGTCCATACACTGACCTCCAATGTATGGAGGATCTATTGATCCAATTGAACCATCAGCTGAACCTGGACAGAAGAAAGATGTGGAGAGAGAGGGTGACAAGGTCTAATTGACTGTTGTCGGGAGGTTCTCCCCCTAAACGCCTATCAATTATACGGTAATTGAGGAGGAGTTACAACTGTTATGACACGAATGTATGCGGTTGCTACATGATTTGTTGGCGAGCGGGAGTGAGCTAACCTAGTGGTCCAAACGGCGCGATTTTTCTATTTATTAACAACCGCGTACGTAGTGTAAGTGCGCATGCACGGCTTCATTACGCGCTTCTTTTTATCCGAATTCCAATTTTTTTCCACATGTGCTACCTGTGCATGCGTCAGGATAACGCGCTTCTACAAGCCGCTAGGATGGCTCGTGCAGATACAGTCATTGTGTGCTCGCTCCCACTCGCCAAAAGTGCCATGCATTCGCCTACTAGTTGCCGAGTGCATTAGCTACTCCGGGTTGTATTCTCGCGATATGCGTACGTACATATGTGTCGGTCACGCTTAAGAATGTCAATTAGTCACGCTTAGGGAATGTCAATTTCCGCCGTGCACGCAGATTCGTAGGAAGTCTGGCTTTGTGCGCAGTCAGTAGAGCGCGCGCACAAGCGGCCTTAGTCGGACTGTTTACGCATTGGCTGGCAGGCGCGAGGCAAAATATGCGCGTGCGCATTCCTAGTATATATTATATATATAATAATAGTACAGCCTCTTTTCGGTCTCTCTTCTCCCTCTTCAGTGCAGCCTCTTTTCGTTCCGTCTCTCCCTCTCCCCCTCTCCCCCTCTCCCCCTTTCACTGACAATTCAGTGTGTGTGTGTGTTGTGTAGCTATAGACACACTCACTGAAGAAGTAGAAGGATTTCCCGGCCTGGTACTCCACCACGGCCTGTCCAGGGCCAGAGAGCCTCTGAATGTTCTGAGAGATGCTGTCAGCATCATCGAACATCCCCAGACAGTCGCCACTCTTTAGGACTTTGCCACCAGGAATACTAGCATTGCAGTTCAAATACTGTTCCTCTGATTCCTGTAATGGGAGAAATTTTAAGTGGACAACTTGAAAATTTAAAGGCTATGTGGCAGCATATCAGGGATAAATTAAGAAACTGTTACTAAAAACAGAAACTTAATTGCATTCTTTAACTGGGCTCCATTGTTTCGGTCTATCTTTAGTAACATTTATAAATTTAGCCCTTATGTACTTTAAAGCTACACACTTTTGAGACAAAAGTAAGCAAAGTGGCTATGGTGACACAATGGAAGTTCTCCGTTGGAATAAGAAGCAGAACACCAGTGGGCAAAGAAGCCACTAATAAATGCGTAGCCACAACATCTCTAAAGAACACATGCTGTTTCTTTACAGAACACTTCTGTATGTATGCTTGGCAGTATTATAAACACCTGTATTGTATGTTTGGGTATTATAAAAACCTGTATTGTATGTTTGGGTATTATAAAAACCTGTATTGTATGTTTGGGTATTATAAACACCTGTATGTATGTTTGGCAGAAACACACATGTTACGTTGTGCAATGACTCTCCTTATGTCAAGGCTCTGTTTCCCTGTGTGAGTCAGTAAACATTCCGTGACACGGATTAAAATAACTACAATGTTCACATGAGATCAATGTTGAGTGGCTTTATATTACCAGTGTATTGTTTAATGTTCCGCACACCAGATTTTTAAGTGGAGACAAATTGCCCTTGTGACCCGCACTGCCCCACTGCACATACAGTAATGTTATACGTGAAACTAAATACATCACCAAATTATTTCTAGCATTACATCATTCTTGTTCTATCGATGGTTTACACTTCAGTGATTTTCATCTCGATCCTTAGGTGACCTTATGATTACATACACTTGCCACACCCACACGCTGGAAAACAGGCAGATGCAATCACAAAGTAATATCCATTTGTTGCAATTGACAATTGACTCATTTCCAACGTGTGTGTGTGTGTGTGTGTGTGTGTGTGTGTTGTATTCCTTATCGCAGTTTGGTAGAAAGTGAAAGGAACTAAAAGAAGTAAAGCTCTAGAGTAAACACCAGTCATCCCTTGCCACAAACAGAAGCAAAAAGGCTCTTGCTACCCTCAGAGGTTTTCACTGAAGGTGGGGGAAGGTGACTTGGTTTTTGGTATACATAGTGTTGTAGCTTTTTGTGGCCAGGATATTCAGGAAGGAAACAGTGGTTGAAGCCAAGTTTTAGCATTCAGTCCTACCGACTATGTCAGTATAATACACTTTACGGAGAACTATGTGCATTATATGGTAGTGAGATGAAAACAGCAAGGGCTCCGGAGTTTATGAAAACAGTCCACGGAGTATATTCCCACATTGACAAGTGAAAAAATCACTCTCTCCCAAATATATAGAGTGGAACCTCCATTAAGGGACCCTCCAATATAGGGACGACCTCTCTACAAGGGACACTTGTTTCAACCCCATGCTAATACTTTAGTGTATTATGTGACCTCCGAGATAGGGACGACACAAGATTGTTGGCCCCATAGTGTCCCTTGTTCAGAGGTTCCACTATACGTTATACTTCACGTTCTCTAATCCTTTTCTACTGCTGTGGTAAAGGGATCGTAACTATGACGTTCTGTACAATAAAGAAAACCTTTTCATGGAGAAAATAAATATTCTTGATCCCAGAATACAAAATGTCCCCACCTACAAGATTACGCCAACACACACAATCTCTCTGGTTCCAGATTTACTGAAAATCACTCACACTTTCTTACCACATAAACGAAGTTGCTGATGATGTCAGGATCACATTGGAGCTTGAGGACATCCCCAAACATAACCTCCAGGGGCGTACTAAAGCAGGAGAGAGAAGGGGGGAAATGAGAGTAGGACTCCTTATTTACAGACAGGGGCTTATGAAAATCAGAGTGTTCCCCATTGCAGCATCCACATTTTTGTTGGGACAGGACCTTTACTACAATACTCCCACAACTCAGTTAACAAGCCCCCTGCTTCCTTTTTTGCGTATATTTACTCCCACTCTACACACGCCACAACCTCACGCGGAATGCGGCGGCGCAAAAAGGCGGCCACACACAGCTAGCCAAGAAATTAAAGTTAGGCTTGCGGCAGAGGGCGCGCAAGTCTGTCTTACTCCGTGTAGTTCTTGACTCCGTCCACCGTCCAGGTCAAGACGTAATCCTTAGCTGCACATCCTGCCAGTAATCCAGCTAACAGCAGAATCCTCGTGGCTCCTACAGAACTCATCCCACGCGGCTTACTTGCCACTAGCACTGTCTCTCCCCCTGATCTCATGATTGCAAAACAACACGCCCAAAGACCAGAGCATACGTGCGCATGCGCAGAATACACCACATCGCACTCTCGCTACTATCTACTAATGGTCTATAGATGACAAACAATGTTATACAGAGATGTGTGTCTTCTCATTCAGTCCATTCTCTCTAGGAGCAGAGCAATGCCCTGGCCGCCACCGATGCAGGCTGAGCCAACTGCCCTGCGAAGACCTCTCCGTCTCAGTTCATGGACCAGATGACCTGTGATACGAGACCCTGAGGTTCCCAGTGGGTGACCTAGAGCTGGGCGCAGGGAGGGAGGGAGGGAGGGAGGGAGAGGATGTGAATTGACTGAATGAGTGAATTGAATGTACATCCTTGCATTATACAGTACATTATTCCAGTGTACTTCATATATAGCTTTTGCCTCATGAGATGATGTATATACATTCAAACATTAATTTGTATACACTTGAGAGCAAAGTGGTAAAGATGATTTGTACTTCAAAGGGACATTCAATACTCTACACAAACGTGTGTCAAATGCTTAGATAAATCTTGGAGAGTCACAATAACCAAATAAGTACAAAGCGTTTAAGGTTTGTGTCTGTGTGTCCGCTTATTCTGGCACTACAGGCTACGAGGTGGTCTATTAGCGATACCAGCGGCTTCAGAACTACGCGAGCCAGAAAAAAATAACAGGGAGATTTTCCTGAAACAACTGCGTTAGAGAAAGTCGAAATGCACGGCGCGGCCTACCCTGACTGGGTCCGCTCGCTCTCAGTCTGTGTATCTTGGAGGCACAAGAAGTCACAACGAAGGGCATGTATCGACTCATGCTATCTACTACTGTAGCTAGCCCGTGCCAAACTCTCCCCGAGTTACTAGCGGGAGAAACGCATACTGATACTCTATTAGCGGTCTGGCGCATGCGCAGTTCGCTGAGGGTTTGCATTTTAGTGCTTTTTATAGGTATTTGGATAGGCTAGACCGTTTGCTCTACACTCCTCAGACATATTCGGATGCCGTTCAGGGTGTCTCTTCAGGTAGGGCAAGGAGGTCACGAATCGCTTCTTCTTTAGATATATACAGGAGAGATAAGAGGTGTGGCAGAAGGCAGAAAAAGAATACAAACAACATACCATAACACTCGCTGCGCATGTGCACCAAGGGTTAACAGTGAGACAAGTTTAAGTATGAGAAAATCTTTGCCTTTAGCTAGTCAACCAGTGCAAATGAGAAGGATCACTCGTACATATTATATACATCGACCTCCACGTGTACAATCAAATGGTATCACGCGCACAACGAATGTTCTAGAATCTGGTGATACAGGTGGTCACATAATACGGATAACTTACACAAACCAATGTTACATAAACACAGCTAACATACAGCACAACAATAGGGACACATCACACAGGCTCATAGAGAGAGTCTCCAGCAGCAGCAGTCGTAGGCTGGGAGGAGGTGGAGGGAGGAAGGTCTCGTATTACCTCATATTCACCTTCAGCTGTCCTTCCAGTCCCTCTCACTACATCGTAGGCCTCATTACTGGAGGTCTGGAACTGCTCTGAGCCCCTGATGGAACAAGGCACAGTTGACAGCAGAAAATTAAACCATTGACCCCCTGTTTGTGGCAGATAACCTACAGATAATTCTTTCCTGACAACTTGGACATTTCTACTCCAGTGTTTGTAGAGCCTGCATTAAAAAAAGTGCTTATGTACTCCTTTTGATGGTGGTTAGTGGTAACATTACATTTAGCTCTTTGGAGTTTCCTCATGAAAAAGACTATCACCATAGCCTGCACTACTGTAGCAGTCACAATCACCACTCCCAACACACCACCCAGAGCAGCTACCAATGCTGATGAATCACTCCTGCACGAGTCTGATGTAGGCACAAAATAAACTGTGTTAAAGGGATTGTGTCAGTATAATTATAAGGGCTAAATTTACTAAAGAAACTATAGGGGCACAGTGAAAGAATGCAATTAATTTCCGTTTTTAGTAACATTTCTAAATTTAGCTCTTATACTGCCACATTCCCACGGTATACACAGTAGAACCTCTGATAAGAACACTGAATAATTGGACACAATAGGGGCACACTTTGAGGTCCCAAGCAATCATTATTCTTAGCCTCCAAAAAGAGGACTATAAACACATATTTCCTGGTCCCAATTCGGAGGTTCCACTTGTAATACATCTGTAGAGAAGAGAAGGTGGAATATGTACACTAACCTTCAGCTGCAGAGTGAGTAAAGGTGGTGGAGGAGCCCCCAGCAGGGTTGAAGACTGTTACAGTGATGTCATAGCTAGTTCCACTCCTCAGCTTGTCGATAGTGTAGCTGTTTTGGTCTGCAGCGAGTGGTCCACTAGTCCCTCCCTCAGCATTGCTGACTTGCCTTCTTCTCGTCCGCTCTGTTAGCTCCCAGCTCACTTCAGAGCCAGTGGTGTCGGGAGGAAGGCTCCAGGAGATAGTGATGGTAGTCTCAATGTTGTCCGTGTCCACAGTTGGTTTCTCTGGAACACCCACTGATGATTGGAGAATGAGTCATTAACAGAACATATTCAGCAGTGTGTGACTCTGACCTAGTGTGACTTGAGCTTCAATGGGAGAACTTGTTGGTCTATTTGGAGCTATTGCTACAATGGATATGGTGTAGGTTTGTCCATTGGTGAGACCAGTCAGAGTGTAGCTGTTGGTAGAGCCACCATCAATATCCACATCACTGCCTGTGGCGTAGGAGATCCTGTAGCCAGTGGTACCTTCCAGTGGAGAGGGAGGAGTCCAGGTCACTGTGATACTAGTAGGACCATCCTGGACTGCTGTCACACCAGTAGGAGGTGGGGGACCTAAAGAGATGATGACAGGCTGACAGGAATGCACTGATACTCTGCAACATGACAATGCTAGACTATGAAAAGCATGCGTACCGCTAATTGATGGGTTGGGCCAAGATTATGCGATTGGCTAGCAGCTCGCGGAGAGTCTGACCCGGGCTAGGTACACCCAGTAGATAGCATGCGGGAGTCGACACACGCCCTTAGTTGTGACTTCTACTGGTACACAGAGCTCGCGGTTCCGATTATATATGTCGCAGTAAGCCCAGTGCAATTATGCACTCGATTATGTATGCTTGTTATACCCACAAAACACAGAACATTACCCTGGTTTTACAGGATGAGTGAGAGAAGGCAGTGAGATGAACGTGAAAGACAAATTAGTGATTCCATAGAGATTTAAAACCATGACCATAAGAATAATAGTGAAACAGTAAAGTTTGTATATACAGGCATGAATACTAATGAAATATCAAGACTAGTGTGGGCCGACAGAAAGTGTCCACAGGGAGACTCGGAACCAATGTAGAAAGAAAGAACAGTTAGGAGCAAGGCATATACCGTCTGAGTGGGTGTGGAGGCAGAGAAACCTTAGTATAGCTTGAATGCAGGTTGTGCCGAAGACACCACTCTCCAGAGCCATATCCCATAGCTTCAGCCAGCTCCCATCATTACTATATAGATGTAACAGCCTGGATATAATGCTGAGAGGGATGTGTAGAGGCATCTGTAGAGACAGGTCGAGTTGGAGAATTTCTTTCTTCAGGGAGTGGTATGAAATTTCGTCAGAAGCTGTTAGTACAGAAGTCGTGTATAGTTAGACTTGTAGATGGACTCGAGGAGACGACATTGACGAGTGATAACCAGTGACTCAACATCAGAGGCGGCGAGGGAGCGGAAAACACGAGCACTGAGAGAGAGATCAGAATTAACTACTTTGAGTAGAAAGCAGAGCTTGATGATAAGTATTCTGGCTCTCATAGATGGCCACTGCAGTGCCATGAGGGCAGTGTTGTTAGGGGTGAAGGTTGGTAGCCGAAGGATGCGCTTGGCAAGCTCAACTTGGAAGGACTCCAGCTTATGCAATAGAGTGGGATTCAAAATCCATGTTTCGGCACCAAACAGTAGGCATGGTAACACAGTGTTCGACGATACTCTTGGAGGAAAGGGGGTTGAGAGTACCGTGGAAGACCCTGCTGCCTGTTGCAAAGAAGGCGCGTCTCGCCTTCTTGATGTTTTCTTCAACCCACTTAGTGCACGATAGACTGGGAGACCACCATGCTCCCAAGCATTTATATAACAGAAGAGGAAAGAGGAAACAGCAGGTCTCCTGTGCCAATGTGGGTGGAGTGGGCTGGAAGAGAAGGAGAAATGGAAGCTTCACGTTTATCGACATTGAGAGCCAGGCCTTGAGAGGAGGCATACTTACTGACGAGCGCCATCTGTAGCTTGCAGTCGGAAATGTTGGTGGAGAGTGTTCGAATATTGTCCGCATGGGAGAAGGCCACAAGATAGAGACCACAGACAGAAGGACCACAGGATCTCTTACTCAGCTCCAGGAGAATTGGGTCCATAACCAGCAGGGAAGAGTGTGGGTGAAAGGACCGAGCCCCCCATATTAACATTATAGCTACTCTGTATTATACTATTACATACTTTGATCACTAACTACAAAGACGATCATCTTGAGCCCGTCCAGACACTGGCCTCCAATGTATGGAGGTTCTATTGATCCAATTGAACCATCAGCTGAACCTGAGAGAAAAAGAGCAAATTTTGTTAACTTCTTTAATGTCTGTGTTTGACTGACTGTAGAAATAGTAGTAATTTCCAGGTTCATATTCAACGACTGCTTGACCAGTGCTTTTGGGTCTTTGAATATTCTGTGAGAAACTAGTGAGTGCAGAGAACCTCCCCAGACAGTCGCCACTTTTGAGGACTTTGCCACCAGGAATACTAGCATTGCAGGTGTCATATTGCTATAGACACACTCACTGAAGAAGTAGAAGGATTTCCCGGCCTGGTACTCCACTACGGCCTGTCCAGGGCCAGAGAGCCTCTGAATGTTCTGAGAGATGCTGTCGGCATCATCGAAACCCGCCAGACAGTCGCCACTCTTGAGGACTTTGCCACCAGGAATACTAGCATTGCAGTTCAAATACTGTTCCTCTGATTCCTGTAATGGGAGAAATTTTAAGTGGACAACTTGAAGGCAGTATATCAGGGATAAATTAAGAACTGTTACTAAAAAAACTGAAACATAATTGCATTCTTTAACTGTTTCTGTCTATTCTAAATTTAGCCCTTATGTACTTTAAAGCTACACACTTTTGAGACAAAAGCAAGCAAAGTGGCTATATGGTGACACAATGGAATATAAGAAGTAAGCAGAACACAAGTGGGCAAAGAAGCCACTAATAAATGCGTATAGCCACAACATCTCTAAAGCACACATGCTGTTTCTTTACAGAACACTTCTGTATGAACGTTTGGCAGTATTATAAAAACAAGTTACGTTGTGCAATGACACTCCTTATATCAAAGCTCCATTTCCCTGTGTGTGCATTCCGTGACGGATTTCGTAACTACAATGTTGAGATGAGATCAATGTTGAGTGGATTTATATTGCCAGTGTATTGTTTTAAAGTTCTGCACACCAGATTTTTGAGTGGAGACAAATTGTGCCAGTTGAACTTACATACATACTGTCTGAACCATAATCATCCACATACAGTAATGTTATACGTGAATCTAAATACGTCACCAAAAATGCAATGAATTCTTTCTAGTATTACATCATTCTTGTTCTTGTTCTATCGATGGTTTACACTTTAGTGATTTTCATGTCGATCCTTAGGTAACCTTATGATTACATACACTTGCCACACCCACACACACACACAAGACAAGCAAAATCATTGATTCATGAACTGCATAAAACATAATCACAGTCGGTGTCTCTTTTATGGAAAACAAACAGATGCAATCACAAAGTTATATCATTTCCAGGGTGTGTGTATGTTG